AGATCACTGCAGACGCAGACTACAGTCAGGAAATCAGAAGACGTTTACTTCTTGGGAGGAGAGAAATGACCAATCTCGATAAAATAGTGAAGAGTAGAGACATCACACTGGCAACGAAGATCCGCATAGTTAAAGCAATGGTATCCCCCATAAGTAACCTATGGATGCGAGAGATGGATCATAAGGAAGGCTGAGCAAAGGAAGATAGATGCTTTTGAACTTTGGTGCTAGAGGCACATTCTGAGAGTGCCTTGGACCGCAAGAAGATCAAAACAGTCCATACACCAGGAAATGCCTGGCTGCTCATTGAAGGGAAGGATATTAGAGGCAAAGATGAAGTACTTTGGCCATATAATGAGAAGACAGGAAAGCTGGGAGCAGACAATGATGCTGGGGAAAATGAAAGGAAAAGGAAGAGGGACCAACCAAGGGCAAGATGGATGGATGGTATCCTTGAAGTGACTGGCTTGACCTTGAAGGAGCTGGGGTGGCCACACCTGACAGGGAGGTGCTCTGGCATGGGCTGGTCCATAAGGTCATGAAGAGTTGGATGCGACTGAACTAATAAATAACATTAACAATAAATAAAGTTTATTATTATTCTTATTCTTTGTTGTGATGCTCCTGTAGTAGAACAAGATCTTGAGATCAGGTAGTTTCCCAATTACATGTTTGTCTGTCCAGGCATTCCTTGTTATATGGTTCATTTTGGTACCTGGTCAATTACCTTATTGTAATTACTCTTATCAGTGATAATTCCATGGCTTCATTTCCACTTCATTATCTATTAACTGATTTTATTGTACTTTATGATTTCAACTTGCAATATCATAAACTGTTTTAGTCTTTTTTAAAATGAAAAGTAATACTGTTATATCTCAAATCATTACATGTATGAAATAATGTGCTGTGAATAGTCAGGCAAACAAACCCAGTGCATTTGAGTCTTTGCTAATGAGCAGGCAGGCTGAGAATTAAAAGCAGCCTATTCCATAAATCTGAATGTATTAGTTTGAATTAACTTGTTGTTTTTCTCTGCACCAAATTTCTATTAAATTTATTTAAAATTAAAATTATGATCTTTCAGAAGTCAACTTTCAGTATTCATCGTGTGCAACAGCACATACAGTGCTTCGTTCTAATTAAAAGCAACACTCCCCCTTTTGTGTTCATTAACTGTTCAATAAGTCAGTTGAAACATGACTGGTTCCAAATTCAATATAATCACTGAACCAACAAATTTATCTCCTAAGGCAACCCCTGCCCTTGGTTTTGTTTTGCATTTGGTTGCTATGAGTTTGGGTGACCATCAATTTTTACAGCAAAACATGTGGTGCAGCAGCTTTCTTTTGTAGTGCTGCTGGGCATGTTAATGTTTGTTCACGAATTTAACTGTTTGCATTCAAATTCGAGAAGGACTAAACTATTTTTCATACACCAACTATATCCCATATAATTATTCTGTTATCCAAATACTATTGAGATGGGGAATTTCACCTTCTTTTCTCATATAGTTAATACTGTATATTAAGCTTCTGTTGTAATAATGTAAAGCATGGAGTCAAAATATTTTTAATGTTAACATCAGGCCTCTGACCTCTCTTTAGTACAGTTGTATTGTCTCGGTTTCATGTTTTCATAATAGTGTCCTGTTGCCTCTTTGCTTGTGAGTGAGCTCCAGTAGTCATGTTACTCTGTGCATGGCTTTAAATTTAACCATCTTTAATGGTAATCACTCTGAATAATACTGCAGCAGCTCAGCTTGTGACAGCAAAAGGCTCTGACCCACTAATCCTTTACAAACAATCTGGTTCTTTTTGTAGGTCAGGCAGTAACAGAGGCTTCCTCGGCACAATGTTGTTGCTGTAGTCTGCCTACAAGTAGATTCCAATTTACAGCAAACCTGTCTCAGGGTTTTCCTGGCAGGATTTGTTCAGAGGGGGTTTACTTTTGTCTTCATCTGAGACTAAGGGTCCCTCCAGACAGACCCTATATCCCAGGCGCAGATCCCAGATGTTCTGCTTTAAACTGGATTATATGATTCCACACTGCCGGATAATCTGGGATAAACAGAAAACCTGGGATCAGATTCTGGGATATAGGGCCTGTCTGGAAGGGCCCTAAGAAAGTGTGATTGGCCCAAGGTTTACTGTTTGTTGTGTTTGTTATCTATCTTCAGGTGCACTTTAACTTTTGGGCAACCCTATGAATGTGAGGCCTCCAGCTCATACTGTCCTCAACAGTCCCGACCAGGTCTTGTAGACTCAGGGCTGTGGCTTCCTTAGCTGAGTCCAACAATCTGTTTTCTATCTTGCCAAATGTTTTTCCTAGAAAGTCATATTTTCCCACAATATAGTCTGAGTGTCCTATATTTGAAATGCTTGGAACCAGAATTTCAGATTTTGCAAGATCTGCATTTGCACTTATATTGACACTTATATGTAATAATAATAATAATAATAATAATAATAATAATAATAATAATAATAATACTTTATTTATACCCTGCTCCATTTCCCCCAGGGGGACTCGGTGCAGCTTACATGAGGCCGCACCCATCAATACAGTAAACACAACAGAACACAAAAGCATAATAAAACCAAAACATAAAATATATAAAATATAAAGCCAATATAATAAGCAACATAGTAAACACAATTTTTGTAACACAATTTTTGTTCCTGGTTTATAAATGTCATTTCCTAATTGGTTCTATCACAAACACCTGGAAAAAGTTTATTAAACTGCAAAACCATTGCTCTTGCGGGACATCCTGCAACACATTTTGTTATAGTTTTTCAATGAATATCTCAGTAGAGTCTCAACCAATTCAACATAGTTTGTGGCAGCCACAAAAATGAAGTTTCTGGCGTATAACAGCTACTTTCAAAGTACTGCAAAATTAAACCGGAAATAACACTTTCAAACCAGGAACAGAATTTGTTTCAAAGTGTGTTACATAGTGTAACAATAATAACAACAACAATGAATTTATTACCTGCCTCTCCCTGTAGCGTGAAGCGAGATACAACATCAGATAAAAAACTATTAAACAATATACAGCAAGATACACAAGAGTTAAAATCTACTGTTAAAATGCAGATTAAAATTAATACCTTGAAATTGGCACCTAATAGAAATAGGTGCGAAGTTTTATTTATTTATTTAGTTTATTTACAGTATTTATATTTTGCTCTTCTCACCTTGCAGAGGACTCAGGGCGGATTACAATGAACATATACATGACAAACATTCAATGCCATAGACACACAACATATATAGACAGACAAAGAGGCAATTTAACATTCCAGTTTTCCGGCTTCATGAGGGTATGCTTGATTCCGACCATAGGGGGAGCTGCCACTTCACCGTCCACTTGTGAAATTGAATCCTCGATTGAGTACTTTCTCATTCTTATCCACACTGCTGGAAGGTTTTATGGTGTCATAAATTATTTGGGACCATCCTACCTGCGTGACCGCATCTCCGTCTACGAACCCACGCACTCACTTCGTTCATCCGGAGAGGCCCTGCTCGCAATTCCGCCTACGTCGCAGGCGCGTCTGGTGGGGACGCGAGACAGGGCCTTTACTGTGGTGGCCCCCCAACTCTTAGACAGGCCCCTACATTGGCAGTCTTTAGGAAGAACTTGAAGACATGGCTGTTCCGATGTGCCTTTCCAGAATAGGAAAATTCCAACAACAAGTCCCAGAAGCATTTTAGTAGAAATTAAGATTGCCGGCACACTGCACTTACCCTATAATCCTACATATCACCTGTCACATCAGCACTTTTAATCTGTACCCATTACTCTGGCCCGGCCCAATTTTATTGTGTCTTGGTGTATTGTTTATTGCTCTGTTGTTTTGATATTGCTTTAATTGTTTTGATTTGCTTTGAGTTGTGTATTGTTATGCTATGTTTTTGAGTCCTTAGCCTTTGTAAGCCGCATCGAGTCCTTCGGGAGATGCTAGCGGGGTACAAATAAAGTTAATAATAATAATAATACTTGACAGGTGCAACTGTCTTTTGGGCTGCATAGGTCAACAGCAAGCTAGACTATTAATGGCCAGGAGCTCACTCCGACCCGGTCTGGTTTTGAACTCATGACCTCTTGATCAATAGTGATTTAATGCTGCTGGCTACTAACTAGCTGCACCACAGCCCAGACCAGTTTTAATTAATTCATTCATTTATTATTTATTTACTTTATTTTTATCCTGCCTTTCTCCCTATTGGGACTCAAGATATATATTTTATGCATCACTTTAAGGAAACTTTATATATTATGATGATGAAGGAGCAAAGTAAGCATTTGTGTACATTAAACCATCAGAAAGCAAAGATGTAATTATCTTAGCTACTTATGTGATCAGTTTGGGATTTTGGAGTATTTCGGATTTTGTAATTCCAGGTAAGTGATGCGCCATGTATATACCCAAGGTATGACAGCCTCTTCCAAGGAGAATTCAGGCCTGATTGCTTTAAGACCCATTTAAGCTGGATCTACACTGCCAAATAATGCAGTGTAAAGCAGGCATGGGCAAATTTGGGCCCTCCAGGTGTTTTGGACTTCAACTCCCACCATTCCTAACAGCCTCAGGCCCCTTCCTTTTCCCCCTCAGCCGCTTAAGCGGAAAAGGAAAGGGCCTGAGGCTGTTAGGAATGGTGGGAGTTGAAGTCCAAAACACCTGGAGGGCCCAAATTTGCCCATGCCTGCTCTACACTGGTATAGATGCACTTTCTGTTCTTTTTGCCCCACATAACACAGCTATCCCCTGGAATCCCATTATTACTAAGAATATATATACAATATCTTGGGTATTCACAAGATCCCAAAACAAAAAACACGCAAGTGTTTCTTCCTCTGTCCAGACATCCACAGATAAAGCTCTGTTTCCCAATCCTTCAAACTCAATTTCCAACCCAACCTTTCCATTAGTAGTCCTGGATGTTTGCGAGGCTCTGCGCATGCGTGGGTGCTCAGGCAGTCGCCGCTGGGCTCGGCGCGCATGCGCAGTCCCTTCCCCGCACATGCTGGACGCTGCTCATCCAGAAAGCGGCGGTCGTGGTGGTGGTTCACCTGGGCGGCGGTGTCCTTGGATCAGGTACGTCCCGGGCCAGGATGCCTATTAAGGGCGGGCCCGCTGCCTTTTCTCCTTCTCCTCTGTCCTTCCTGATTTCCTTGTCGCAATGAGGTTGGTTTCCTGGGGCTTCATTTGGCAAGGAGTTGTGTTTGCATGTGTGTATATATCCCATAATAATTGTGATTGTCCTCCACCAGCAACATAGATAGACAGACAGACAGACAGACAGACAGACAGACAGACAGACAGATAGATAGAGTTGCCACGGAAGATTGTGGGAAATTTCCACTCCTCCTCGCCAGACAGACCTGCAGGAGGGAAGGTCGCAAGGTACATCTACACTACAGAATTAACGCGGTTTGATACCACTTTAACTGCCATGGCTCAAGGCTATGGAATCCTGGGAATTGTCCTTCGATGAGTTCCCATGATTGCATTGCATTGAGCCACAGCAGTTAAAGTGGTGTGAAAATGCATTAATTCTACAGTGTAGCTGCACCCTAAGGCTTATCCTATTTCCTTTACACCCTTGAGAGATGTTTTCCTTCTTCCTTCCATCACCTTGACTGGCCTTATGCCTTTGAGGGCTGTCATATTACTGGAATGTTATATCTCTGGGTGCATCTGCACTGTAGAATTAATGCAGTTTGTCACCCCTTTGATTGCCATGACTCAAAGCTATTGAATCCTGGGAGTTGTAGTTTGGGCTAAAGACCCCCTTGATGCCTCTTTGACTGCCATAGCTCAATGCTATCAAATTCTGAGAATTGTAGTTAGGGCCAAAGACCCTTTTGACACCCCTTTGACTGCCACGGCTCAAAGTTATTGAATCCTGGGAGTTGTAGTTTGGGCTAAAGACCCCTTTGATGCCTCTTTGACTGCCATGGCTCAATGTTATTAAATTCTGAGAGTTGCAGTTAGGGCCAAAGACTCTTTTGACACCCCTTTGACTGCCATGTCTCAATGTTATCAAATCCTGGGAGTTGTAGTTTGGGCTAAAGACTCTTTTGACACCCCTCTGACTGCCACATCTCATTGTTATTAAATCCTGCAATTGTAGTTTGGGCTAAAGACCCCTTTGACACCCCTTTGCCACGGCACAATGCTATCAAATCCTGGGAGTTGTAGTTTGGGCTAAAGCCCCCATTGACACCTCTTTGACTGTCACGGTTCAGTGTTATCAAATCCTGGGAGTTGTAGTTTGGGCTAATGACCCCTTTGACGCCTCTTTGACTGCCATAGCTCAATGTTATCAAATTCTGAGAGCTGTAGTTAGGGCCAAAGACCCTTTTGACACCCCTTTGACTGCCACGTCTCAATGTTACCGAATCCTGGGAATTGTAGTTTGGGCCAAACACCCTTTTGACACCCTTTGACTGCCACGTCTCAGTGCTATCAAATCCTGGGAGTTGTAGTTTGGGCCAAAGACCCTTTGACAACCTCATGATTCCATGGCCTTGAGCCATGGCAATCAAAGCCATGCAAACCGCATTCATTCTTCAGTGTAGATGTGCCCTCTTGCCCCTCAAATTACTGTCAGGCAAAGGGGTATATGAAATATACATGAATGCCATGTTTAGGCTTCAGTGTCATCTCCAAGAGATCTCTTTGTACGCAGCCTGAGAAACAGGAGAGAAAAACAATCCAGTGCAGGGAAAAGGCAACTTGCAGATCCGGTGACTGGTTAATTAAAGCATAGAGCAAACGGTGGTGCAGAGGCTCCCTATGGAAGGCTTACCTTCGGAGAAGAGAGTGAGTCTGTGGCTGCAGAATAAATGCAGCTCTACGCCACTTTAACTGCTATGGTCAGTGCTGTGAAATCCAGGGATCTGTAGTTTAGTGAGGTACCAACACACTTTGGCAGAGGAAGGTGAAAGTCTTGTAAAATGACAACTACAGTTCTCCAGAATCTAAAGCAAGCATGGGCAAACTTGGGCCTTCCCTCCAGGTGTTTTGGACTTCAGCTCCCACAATTCCTAACAGCCTCGGGCCCCTTAAGCGGCTGAGGGGGGGAAGGAAGGGCCTGAGGCTGTTAGGAATTGTGGGAGCTGAAGTCCAAAACACCTGAAGGGAAGGCCCAAGTTTGCCCATGCCTTATCTGAAGTCATCCACATAGTTGACTAGAACAAGGACAGCTTTGCAAATACAGGAAATCCAAAACCTAAAATATCTATGGTCCCAACCATTGTGGGCCCTATCTACACTGTCATGTAATGTGGTTTGAATCTGCATTATAGCATCAGTATCAACTCTGTTAAGTAGATTGTTATTACACTTGGACTTTTTGCATCCAAATCAGAGCAACCTGGTTAGTGTCAGAAATGAGTTCTCTAATCTGTTGTGACGGAAACCTCCGTTTTTAACTGGAAGCTTACGGAAGGACAGCTGATAATATCCCATATTTATTGCAGTTGTCCTCCATCAGCAAATTTAGGGCACTTTTAGACTGCTGTTCGGTGTTTGTGTATTTATGTGTTTGCGTAAGAAAGAGGTAATTTAACTAAAAAGGAGCTGTTCAGCAGTGGAACTCTCTGCCTCGGAATGTGGTGGAGGCTCCTTCTCTGGAGGCTTTTAAACAGAGACTGGATGGCCATCTGTTGGGGGTGCTTTGAATGCGATTTTTGTGCTTCTTGGGAGGGGGTTAGACTGGATGGCCCACAAGGTCTCTTCCAACTCTATGAAGTGGATGTTGTGGTTGTGGATTTTAAGACCAGCTTTCTTTGTGAACCCATAATTGAAACAATTTTTCAGCTCAAACTCCCAAATAGCACATTCTGTCAGTAAGTGCAATCTTGTTTAGGTTTGTTAATTAAGATATTTCATATTGTAGAAAGCATTGATTCCATATAGATAGCTGAAGAAAAAGAGATCAATTTTTCCCCTTGGTTTAAGTTAAATTAAAACCCACAATTTGCAATTGGGGTTGGTATATCGTACTACTAAGCACTGTTTATGAGCTGAGCTTATTAATAACCAGTCAGAATGTATCTGACTCCTGTCTTGCTCTCTGAAGCTGCACAGATGTCTATGTTCCCCAGCCTTGTATTAAATAGTGCTTAGCTTGGCTTGCAAGAGCTAGTAATTCTGTTTCCTATGCTGCTTGGTCCATTCCTGGGAGTGCTGGGTCTTTTCTGAGTGCCGAGATATTGATTAATTTGAGTACTTCCAATTAAGAGTGACCAAAATGGAAACCATGTAACAAATGGCTGAAAATACCACATACAGTATAGTGTCACTTATCCAATATAAATGGGCCGGCAGAATGTTGGATAAGCAAAAATGTTGGACAATAAGGAGGGATTAAGGAAAAGCCTATTAAATATCAAATTACATTTTACAAATTAAGCACCAAAATATCATGTTAAACAACATGGTAATGTTATGTAGTAATTACTGTATTTACGAATTTAGCACCAAAACATGGCAATATATTGAAACAGCTGTGCATCTGGGTGGGAGGCAGACTGCGTTGGATAATACAGAACGTTGGATAATACAGAACGTTGGATGAGTGAAGGGTGGATAAGCGAGACTCTACTGTATATCTATCTTAAGGTAAGATTAAGGGAAACATGATGGTGGTTTTTTGAATATGAAAGACTTGTTTCTTGCTTTAGAGCAAAGCCTCTTAAAGATGGGGTCGCGACCCCAAATGGGGTCATGGGAGTGAGTGGTGGAAAAAGGAGGAATTGGGTTTCAGGTTGAGAAAAAGGATAAGTGGTGCACCTAGATGAAGGAGAAGGGAGAATTGGGCTCCATGTTTAGGAAATCAGTGGTTCTCAACCTTTGGGTCTCCCGGTGTTTTGGCCTACAACGCCCAGAAATTCCAGCCAGTTTACCAGCTATTAGGATTTCTGGGAGTTGAAAGCCAAAACATCTGGGGACCCACAGGTTGAGAATCACTGCAGTAAATATTTGATTTTTATACCTATTTTATATGGGTCCATTTAAGCTGCTCCGAGTCCCTTTTGGGGAGATGGTGGCGGGATATAAATATAGATGATGATGATGATGATTATATGTACTGGGGTCACATAATGTTTTCGCGGGCAGAAAGGGGTTGTGAGCAGAAAAAGTTTAAGAAGCCCCGCTTTAGAGGACAGAAGTAAATCCATAGGATGGAAATCGTAGAGGATCAGATTTAGGCTCAACATCTGTCCACCATTCTCCATGGCTCAGCAGATGGTGGACTGCCCTTCGCTGGCAGCGTCTCAGCAGTGACCGGGCAGTTTTCCATCGGGGATGTTGTAGTAGCATTTTATGTTGTTGATCGTGTAATTTAGCAGAAGGTTGGACAAGGTGATCACCAAGGGCCCGTTAGATTGTAACATCCCTGTCACACGCATATTGTAAGTAAATTGATTTATAGAGTTAGCCTTGTTTTGCATCACTATATAGTAGGCACGGGCAAATTTTGACCCTCCAGGTGTTTTGGACTTCAACTCCCACAGTTAGGCATGGTGGGAGTTGAAGTCCAGAACACCTGGAGGGCTGAAGTTTGCCCATGCCTGCTATATAGTGTATACTTGGTTATACTCTTACATTTATGTCCTTGGAAATAAATCCCTACTGGAATAAATAAAAGTAGTATCAGTGCATAGAGCAGGCATGGGCGAACTTTGGCCCTCCAGGTGTTTTGGATTTCAATTCCCACAATTTCTAACAGCTGGTAGACTGTTAGGAATTGTGGGAGTTGTCCAAAACACATGGAGGACCAAAGTTTGCTCATGCCTGGCATAGAGGGTGGTAGGGAGCATTTGGAGACACGAAATGGGGGGAGGTTCTCTTCCAAGGTCCCTTTCCAGGGTCAATAAGTACTCAAACGCCTGATATTTGCCCAAATGTGGTATAAACAGTATTTTGGATCAGTGTATATATTTATCTCACCAATATTTAGGTCTTTTTTAACTTTACACAAGTTGTAACCTGTCTTAAGCCATAAGAAGAGGCAAGCAAGTAAGAAATAAAATTGTTATTGTTATTATTACTAGTGAGTGCTCTGTCATGGATGCTGATGGCTT